GGGTTTATTTCTGGGCTCTCTATTCTGTTCCATTGATCCATATGTCTGTTTTTATGCCAATACCATGCTGTTTTGATTACTGTAGCTCTGTAGTATTGTATGAAGTCTGGGAGGGTTATTCCTCCAACTTCATTCTTTTTCTTCAATATTGGTTTGGCAATTCTGGGTCTTTTGTGGTTCCATATAAGTTTTAGGATTATTTGTTCTAGTTCTGTGAAAAATGTCATGGGTAATTTGATAGGGATCGCATTAAATCTGTAGATTGCCTTGGGCAGTATGGCCATTTTAACAATATTGATTCTTCAAATCCAAGAGCATTAGAATTGTTATTGACTCTGAAGAATAAGTAGAAATTCTCCAGTATACTTGGGGGTAATGGATTGACTTCTGTTTTGGACTAGAAGCACAAATAGCTCTTTGTGTCTTAACTTTCTTGAGTACTGGCAGAGTGTTCAAACTCTGTCAGTTTTTGGCAGAGTTTCTCAAGATGAGATTGTTATACCTGTAAATAATTTAAAGGGAGAGAATATCTCTTTCTGAAAAGCTTAAAAAGATTAAATTATATTTGAAGTTAGAATCCCAATTTCACTTTCTCAGGCTAAATGAAATAATATGAAGTCACAGAGTATATAAGTTAATAAATCAAAATGGGATCAGGATCTTAGTTTCTCTAGAGATTTTGTTTGTATGTTATTGGTGGTGGTGGCTATAGGAAGCTTGTTAGGAATATATCTCAAACAGTAACAACACAGTATAGTAGTTGTCCATTGCAAATTTTTTCCATAGATGTGGCAGTTTAACATTATCAAGGCATAGGCTCTAGAGAGGCTTAGGTTCATATCTCAAATTCCTAGGGTGCCCATATAATTTATTTAGAGGTTTTTTTCTAATATTAAATTCATATAGTTCATATTTTCTTGCTGTTGGTATAAAAAAATATGATGAGTTTTCTTTTACATAGTTGCCTAGGATTTTTCCCCTGAGAAGCATATGGAATGATATAAATCAAAAATTTCTCTGAGTTGAATATTACTATCTAAAGACCATTAATGTAAATAATCTTCTTAAATACATTTTTGTCATTTAAAAGGGAAAATAAAATTTTTACTTATAAAATGAGTAAGTTCTGGGGATCTAATATATAGCATAATGATTATAGTTAATACTGTATTATATACTTGAAAGTTGTTGAGAGTGTATCTTATTAAATTAAATTAAAGTATAATTTGCAATGTTGTGTTAATTTCTGGTGCACAACAAAGTGATTCAGTTATACATACATATATATATATTCTTTTTCATATTCTTTTTATTATAGCTTATTACAAGCTATTGAATATGGTTCCCTGTGCTATATAGT